CATAGCTTCTTGCCATTTATCTGAGTCAATGTCCGACATTGCCTCATTATAGCTTATTGGATCATTATCCAAAAGGAGTCCCTCTTCATTGTCTTTTGACAATAGGTATAGCCTTTCAGGCGCCCTAGAAACCCTTTCGGATCTCCGAAGAGGTTGTGTTTCAGATGGTCCAGTCTCTACTGGTATGTTATTTGTGGTACATTGTGGAATTTCTTGTGGTTCTTCATTAAGTTCTATGACTCCACTATTCTTTGAGAGAAACTCTTCCTCTAAGAATATAGCATTCCTCGAAACAAACACCTTTTGTTCAGAGGGATCATAGAAATAGTATCCAATAGATTCTTTTGGATACCCCACAAATTTACATAAGATGGATCTCATATCCAACTTACCTCCCACTAACTGCTTCACATAAGCAGTACAACCCCATACTTTTAAATATTTGTACGAGGGTGTCTTGCCACACCATATCTCATAAGGTGTGTTGGGTACAGCTTTACTCGGCACTCTATTTAAAATATGTGCTGCTGTTTCTAAGGCATAACTCCAGAATGAAAGAGGTAAACTAGTGGAACTCATCATCGTTCGAACCATGTCTAACAGTGTTCGATTTCTCCTTTCTGAAACCCCATTGAGTTGTGGAGTTCCAGGAGGTGTCCACTGTGAAATAATCCCATTATTTCGTAAATAATCAAGAAACTCATTGGTCAAATATTCACCTCCTCGATCCGATCGAAGAATTTTAATACTACGACCAATTTGTTTCTCCACTTCATTTCTGAATTCTTTGAACTTTTCAAATACTTCAGATTTGTACCTTAATAGGTATACATAACCATACCGTGAATAATCATCAGTAAAAGTTAAGAAATAGTGGTAGTTCCCCTTGGCACTAACATTTAGTGGTCCACAAACATCTGTATGGATCAAATCCAACAGACCTTTAGCTCGCTCCACTTGTCCAACAAATGGTGATTTTGTCATTTTACCTTTAAGACATGATTCACATGTAGGCAACCTTTCCTCTCCCCTAAGGTCGAGTTTTGGTCCCAATTTGTGAATCCTCTTTTCAGATATATGACCTAGTCTAGCATGCCAAATTGTGAATGAACTATGATTATCTAATTTCCTTTTATTTTGTTGAATGGTTAGGATGGGACTTTCTGGTGTAATGTTATATAAACCATTTGTCAAATTTCCGGAATATATAAAAGTTGTATCTTTGAAAATGGAACATCTTCCATTCTCAATTACGAACTTAAAACCTTCTCTATCCATTACTGGAATAGAAATAATGTTTCTTATAACATCCGGAACATACAAACAATTTGTTAGACAAATTTTTACACCATTATTAAAAGCTAGATAAACAGTCCCAATTGCTATTGCGACAACTCTTGCCCCATTGCCCATCCTTAGGATTGTTTCATCATTTTCTAGCTTTTTACTTCTTGCCATAATTTGCTAATCATTGCAAATATGTGAGCCACAGCCGGTATCCAATACCCAAGAAGAATCGTTAACCGATAAGTTAACTTCAACAAAATAAATACCTGAACTTTTCAGGCTTGCAAGATACATCTTACAGTTCCTCTTCCAATGCCCAGTTTTACCACAATGATAACATTTATTGGGTTCAGTTAATTTGTTTTGTTCCATGATACTTGCAATTGGATTTTTAGCTATTTTAGTAGAGTGATCTACAAAAATAACAGACGAAGCAGAAAATAATTAGACTATGGAATTCATATTCATTTAATATTAGGTCTTTAAATATTAAATGTCTCCCACTATTTTAATTAAACCCCTTTTAATTATGAAAATCTAATTTTCATAGTGGGCTTGAAGTCCAATAAAAATATTTCATGTCCCAATTTTATGAGTGCGCATGAAACAATTTTATCGGTGGTCAACTTTTTGACAATTGTATCTCTATACAACCTTCAAGATATTTTGCCTCACCTTTCCTTATATACCTCAATTTTATGACCGTATATATTACTCGGTGTCAAATCAAACCCATCAAAACTTTCATGATAATGTCCCACCAGAGTGTCCCACGACTCATGGTCAACACAAAGAGGAATCCATCTCACGAGTATCAATATACTTAGTAGAGTTCACAGCTTTCGACACAGAACCACCCCACGACTCATGGTCAGTGATAAAGTATCGTAGCATCTCATGTCGTCTACTTTTGATGGAAGGCCTGGATTAATAAGTCCCAACTTATTTTTATCCATTATTGATATGATATAGAATTAATCAAATTAATTCTTTTGGGTTCCTTAGATCTCATCGATTACCATCTTTACGTGTGTTTATTTACCGTATTATTCATCACATGAATCACAAACGCATAAATAAACCTAACATACATCTAATGCATGCATACGGTGGGATGATCATGACCTTGCCTATACGACCCATTTGAGCCAAAATGGGTCTATGCGTATGTACGTGATAAAACAAACAAATAGAACTACTTCTATTACATTTTATTTTATCTACCCGTACAAGCACAGGCCTTCAAAATTTACAACTTGTAAAATTACCAACACAAGCGTGGGCGTTTTGCATCGAACGGTCTCCACCTAGATCTAATCTTTAATGATATAAAATTTAAAATTTTACAAATCATAACACAAGAGACTCGCAGGTCTCGATAAATTACATTCATTCAATCGTATTGAAAAATGCAACCATTCAATCACATTGAATAAAAAAAACAAACATTCAATCATATTGAAAAGGCTCATGATCATCCCTTAATATGCTAAAAACATTCATCACATGAATTAAAGCATAAAAAAAATTGTTTTAGTCACACGACCGGGTCACACGACTGGTCACACGACTCGTGTCATGCCACACGACTCGTGTCAAAAACGTCACACGACTCGTGTGAAAAACCCGAAACCAACATCAAACCTTTTGATATGTCACACGACTCGTGTGACTACTCACACGACTCGTGTGGACCTGCTTTCCTACAAAATTGATCATTTTGATGAACCACACGACCCGTGTGACTCCTCACACGACTCGTGTGGCCCCACACGACTCGTGTGACCCATTCACACGACTCGTGTGGAAAAAAATTAAATTTTTATTTTAATAATTAATATGTTTATCCCATAAACATTTAATTATTATGTTTATCCCATAAACATTTAATTATTATGTTTATTCAAATTTGATTTAACTACAATGTGATTCTATAAAATAATAATTTTGGTAAAATTTTCATATATATATAAAAATCTATGTATATAAGAATTATAATTTTAAAAGGATAAATCAAAGTAGAACGTAATATGCACAAAGTTACCATTGTGCCTCAAGTCTAAGGATTAGTCATGTACTATTGTAACATGTAAATTCTTATTCGACAGATTATTAACTAAAATAATTCTTCATTAAGAATTTTCATACGGTCATGTTCAGTGAACTTGTTCTCTAACAAGCACCCACATATATGTACTTGCGTCCCACGCTAATGTTGATGGAATGCAACATTCTTGTCAAACAAGCATACATACTATGTACAAGTCTTTTATGGATTATTCGATATCCCTTCTCGAAACATCCATCGACTTGGAACTTTATTTAAGATCACAGCTTTCAAGTTATGTTCCATGATCACCATCTCTATGTGCAACCATACCTTATAGCTATATGTGATCTAGGGATTTTATCTTAAGTGCAAATATAGGATAAATGCTTACTCTTAAGATAAAGTAATGCCTTTTAATTAATATAATTCCAATAGATTGTATTTACAAGTAGAATACATCCAATCCAATTGGAACGCTGGGTATACTACTCTAACAGACCTGATTGAGGGCGTGAGGATAGGTGGAAGGACCGACCTATTTCGAGAGGCAAAAGATTCCATAGTTTTACGCCGTTAAATGAGAAAATGGGAGAGGTGTTGTTTGGCGTTACCAAAGTTAAAGTTAGTAAAAAATCAAATTCATTAAGGGTAATGTAGTAATTTGACACTCATTAAGAGTATTTTTGTCATTAACAATAAATCCTAATCACTAATGGGCCCCACCACAATCACCAACCTTAAATCTCTTTCTCTCTCATTTTCACACACAAAAACACACACTAACTCACGCCACACACAAACACGCACACACATACACACACACACACAACACACACACTTAGGGCTGGCATATTTTAACCGAAAATTGAAAGCCCAACCGAACCGTACCGAACCGACGAGAAAATAAACCGAACCGTACCGAACCGATAAGGGAAAAAAAAACAAAGATTTTTTTTTTTTAAATATTAAAACAATGATTAGTTGTTTAGTGTTCAAAAATTGAAATAAGGGCTCAATCCTACCTAAATCTCAAAATGACGAGAAAAATACCATTACTCATCGCCTCATTCACTTTCTAATCGGAACATTGTTAGTTTACCAGTCTCACTTCTTCTAAAGAAGATGCATGGTACTGTTACTGTAGTCTATTCTCGTACCACCGTTACTAGATAAGTTAGTTGAAGTTGTTTCACAAATTTTATTTCTTGCATGTTAGCAATATATTGTTTTATTAGTTGCATTTACCACAAAAACCATAATCTAATAATATATAAGCTAACTTCTATACAATAAGCTTTTTAAACCTTCAATGGATTTGTGAGTCTTTTGTGTGTATTTAATTGGTAACAATTGAAAAAAATTACAAAAATGACGACAAAAGTAAACACTAGTAATTTTTTTTTTTCTGCTCAAAATTGGTTCGGTTTTTTGGGTATAAAACCGATACCGAACCGAAACCGAACGAGTTTTCGGTTACCGAATTTTTGGTAACCGACTTTAATCAGTTCGGTATCGGTTTTGCATTCCGAGGTTACCGACATTATCGTTACAGTATCGGTATACGCTTATCGGTTCGGTAACCGAACCGATACCACCCCTACCCACACTACATCAACGGTCAATGCCGGTCAGATCCACCAGTCCAGTCGCCGGCAATTGACAGATAACAGCTGCAACAGTCTCCCATCACCAGCCGTAACTGACTCTCGGACTTCCGGTGAAGAAGGCTTCCAACACGGCAGATTAGATATATTCGGCTCCGTGCCGATTGTGGGCCGCCGGGGAATTTTTTTTCGAAACAGAGGCAGAGGAAGATGAACGGCGGAGATATGTGGTTGACGGATAGCTGCAGCGGCTGCGCGTCAATGAAGCATCGAGAGGCTTCAAGCGTCCCATCTCAGACGCCGGTGGGAGAAGATGTCGCGGAAAGAGGGTGGATGACGGCGGGCGGCGGCGGATGGCGGCAGGCGGAGGGCGCTGGTCAGGGGCATATGGCAGATTGACGGGAATTTAGTGTTGTTTGTGTCTAGGGACTGATTATTGAGAATTGAATAAGTTATAGGGGCTTTGATGCAATTTCTATTTTTTTTTATATTTTAATATGTGTGGCATTCTTGTAATTTATTAAAAGTTTAACAAGTGCACTTTAATGAAACAATCAATGCACAATATTGTGGATTAAAATGCACTTTAAAAATCACATTGTAATTTTATTATACTATAGACTTTGCACCGCTTAATGTTCGGTCGGTTTGGTTGTTTCACTGTTTTAAATAATAAAGTCGACATAGATTCCAAATATTCAAACTTTTAAAAGTAAAAAATAGATAATTAAATCGAAATATAAAAAATTCGAACCAAGAAATCTTAGTTCGGTCGTTCTCGGTGTGCAATCTGATAGACATTAATGTGCAACTTGTCTAACATGAGTGTGCACGGTCTCGATCGCTTTTGTGCATCCTAATATGACCAAACTTTTATCTCAACGTACATTAAAATTAATTTAAAATAATTGGTGTATTTTACCGGCTAACTGTATAACCCTATATAATCAAACAAATCTATTATTTATATTAATATTATATTTAATATTTTAATAATTTAATTTAATAATTTTATATCATCTTTTGGTTGAAAAAACATAATATATAAAATCATGATTTTGATGTTGTGCATTCATGCCACATCCAGTAATGTGCATTTAGTCTAACATTATTGTGTAGCATATTGTGCGTGTATTTTTTATTGGGTTACAATTTTAGAAAAAATTAATAACGCGTATTTCAATTAATATGATTATGCACTTATCAAATTATTTATATAATAAAATATATTTAGTATTTATAACTTTATTTAATATTCTATTTTATTGTTTATTGACAATAATTAAAACATATATATATATATATATTTATATAAGTTACTCGGTTATGTTATGTTATGTTATTTATTTATTTCAAACTACTGTGCATTTGATCTGACAATATTGTGCAGTATGACTTTCACTAATGTGCATCTTGTTTGGTAATATTGTGAATTTATGTAGTGCAATTTTTTATTTATTTATTTATTTTGCTTGTTTGTTAATAGAATAAACTTAAATACTGAAAATATATTATTAATTACATAAAAAATAAATGTTTTAATATCTTTATGGCTGGTGGCTTTCCTTTGTGGCTGCCGCTTGGCCAATCGATGTCGATTGGTGGGTTCTCTACTTTGTTTCTCTGTGGATTGGAGCTTGGAGGCTTGAGCTCGAGTTCTTAGTAGCCGGCGGAATGTTGAGGGCGTGTTGATTGGAGGAGGACGAGACTGGATGGGCCCGGCTTTGAGTGCTGGCTGGTTATTCTTTCGGTCGAAGGTGAGTTAATTCGGGTTAGTCTCGGGATCCCAGTTTAGCTTCTGTATAGGCGTTCGACAGCAGTTTCGGAAGTTGAGCTTGGGACTTCGGATTTTACTTGGATTGATTGTTTGTCTACTGGTTTCGATCCGCCTTATTTGCTGGGGAAGGGTGTTTTAGTGTATTATTTTTTCTGTTTTGTATTTTGTTTGTGTTGTTTGTGTTGTGTTGTATTAGAACTTGTGTTTTTGGTTTGGGCCGTTGGCTCCTGTGAGTCCGAGTGTCAACTTATTATCCTGTTGGGATCAGACACTCGGGTATTACCCTGTTGGAGTCTTTTTAGTTTCATAGTTTGTTGTTATTGTTTTTGTGTCAGAGAGTATTACCCCGTTGGGGTCGGCTCTAGGCGGTCTTCTGATTGTCCTCCATTTTATTCAGCTATTGACTGTTTGTATTCAGCTGTTGGCTGTTTTTATTCAGCCGGTGGCTGTACTTTTATAAATTTGTGTGGTTTCTAAAAAAATCTATCGTTTCGAAAAAAAAAATCTATATATTCTATTTTATATTATTTTTGGTTTAGAATAATAATAATAATAATAATAATAATAATAATAATAATAATAATATGTATTGAAAAATACATATAATAGAATGTGTTTTTATATATTTTCTGTAAATTCTAGATTTGGCCCAGGGACTAAATTAAAATATAGTAATTTTTTTTGAATTCACAGATTGACCCCAAGGGTTTAATTGAAATTAACTAAAATTCTTAAATCTGCAAATCAGTCCTTGAAGTGATTTAAGTCTCAGACACAAGTCCTCAGCTAACATATGTGTCTCAGTCGTTCCCACCGACGACCGACCTTCGTCCGGCCACATCGTTGCAAGCGTCGTCCTCTCGTCGGAGGACAACTGATCAGCCGCTGTCAGCCCAAATCTATTGCACAACTGATCGGAGAGACTTCGCAACAATCGTTGGAGGACAACTGACGGCGAAGGCCATTGAGACCCACTGCACTGTAGTAGTCTTAAGGATGTATAGTCTCGTCGAATTCCAAAAAAAAAAGAAAACAAAAAAAAAAAGAAAAGAACATGTTTCGTACGAAGAAGAAGGTCTTCAAGGTGGTGGACGACATCTCTGTGATGACTGGGATCTGCAGTAACTTCTGCTACGGCGGTAGGAGACGGAGCCGTTATATCAGCGCCGACGACGTACCTTACCGACAATATGTGTAGGTGTCGTGTGTGTTCTGTGTGAGTGTAGGTATTTAGTGTGTGTTACGTGCGTGTGTGTTGTGATTGTGAGATGGTGTGTGGTAGGTGGGGGGGTCGTAGGTGGGGGGTGGGGCCCAATGAGAGAGTTAATGGTGTCTGTTGGGCTGACAGTTCAACGGGTACATTTATGATAGGATGAGTGTGGTGGATGGGTTCGATAGGTGGTGGTGTTTATTGATGTAATGTCTAAATTACCCTTAATGATGATAAAATATTGGTTTTTTTTCTGACCGTTGGATGATCAGATTTTGTGGCTGAGATGTATTCTTATTTCTTTCACTGAGAACCATTCTCAATGGAGCGCATCCCTATATATATACATATACACACACACACACATATATATATATATATATATTGTGTCAAAAAATTTGAGATTTGTTTTGGTTACCTTATTGTTCAAATTTATCAACTAATTCTCTAGAAATAAATTATAAATTTTTAAACTTTAATGGATAATTCTCTAGAAATAAATTATAAATTTTTAAACTTTAATGGTTCAAGCTTTAAATTTTTTAAGAAATAAATAAATTAATGGTATTATTAATTGGTGAATGCAATTACATAGTTTATATAAAGAAATTCAAGTTTTTCAAAACATGATAATGATTTCAACTAATAGATAAACACAAATATCGGATAAAGGATCTTCAACATATTAAGAAGTTGAAAGCGAAAAAGAGGGAAAAGAAATTAAAAGATAAATATTAAGATGATATAAACTTTATAAAGTTATAAAAGAATATTTTAGGAAGTATGATAAAAGTGAAGACTCACAAGTTTTATTTTTTTCTTGAAAAATAAAGGAAGATCAATAGTGTTTGTAACGCCCCGTTTATTTTAATAAAATAATAGCATTCTTGCATTTCATTTCATATCTCAACTAAGTTTAATCATGGCTTTAAAGCAAATTCTTTTAATTAAAATGACAATTAAGTAGATGTCCCTGTCTATTTAATTTTTCTAATTAATTTACCTAATAAAAAATAAAGATTAAGTAGATGTCCTCATCTTCTTAACTTTCTAATTGTGTTCTCGTTTTATCGAAAATTTTCCTAAGTATGTTATGTGCCTAAGTGTATTAAGTGTTTAAGTTGTTTTGTTTAAGAGTTTTTCCCTAAGCTTAGCTAAGTCTTAAGCTTGTTCAAGAATGTACTAAACTCGGCCTTCACTCTTCATTTTTTTTTTAAACCGAGCCAAGATAAAAAGAGCCATTTTTTTTTATTCCCAAGTAAATCTATCTAACAATGCCCAAAGTCCTAAGAATCTAACACCTACACTCGACCATGCTCATTTCAAATGCAAGAGATTAAAAAAATTTTAAACACCAAGCATACTCCTTAGCCCTTTTTTCGGCCAACCTCCTTCACCCAAGCTGGGACCAAGTCAAGCTCACTAACTACCCTTTTTTTCTCGGATTGCAATAGCCCTCATTCCCTCATGCAAGCTAACAGCCGCCAGCATCAAAGAGACCAAGCAACCAACCCTTTTGACCACCTATTTAAACATTGCATGTGCGCCCATGCCCGTGCCTCAGCGTGCCTGTGTGCGCCCAACGCTCGTACCTAGTATTTTCTCGTGACCATCGGCCAGACCCGAGTTCAGTAGGGCCAGACTCGAGTTCAGCAGGGCCAGACCCGAGTTCAGCAGGGCCACAACAGGCCAACACCAAGCTGGGCAGCCGCTGCACCAAGTCAACCCAAGGGGTCTACCGAATCGAATCGGGTTTGACCGTGTGCAGACCGGCCGATTCAGTTCAGTTTGAACATCCGAGAACTCTAGACGAGCCTAGAAAAGGCGAGAGAAGAGTAGAAGAAGAGTTACTTGTTTTTGCTTGTCTTAATTGCTTTTCTTTAATTGTGTGACTTAATCAACCTGTTAATCAAAATCTATCTCTAACAATTTCCTAAGGAAACCCTTAATAATTAATTAAATGAGTCAATTGTAGATTAAGAGGAGTCGAGCCCTCACGAAGTTCACGTGAATTTTCATTCATTCAACATCAACAATTAAGGTGGGGATCTCTATGCTATGTTTTATTCTTAATAATCGCATGATATTATAGTTAAAGTATGTTTGTGAGAATTTTCCAGAGTGTGGGCAATGCCTGAGCATTGGCATCAATTAGATCTCCCGACCGTAGGCTGGGGAGAGTCTCATGTATCCGTCGGTGAGAGTGTATACACATGAGATAGCCATCCATTGTAGGCTGGGGAGCGTCCCATCTATCTGATGAATGAGTTCAGTTGAGACCACTTTATTCATTTTCATGCTGATATTATGGTGCTCGTTATTATTCTGAATAATTGCATAGGATAGAATACCATTGTGAGATGTTTTGCTCACCCCCTACAATTATCATTTCCAGGTTAAGCAGCTGGCATCAGATACTAGGGGACGATGGTGGTCATTTTATGTTTATCACTTTTTATGCTTCTGCTTTGAAAGTTTCAGAACTTGTTGCTTTCAAACGTTTGAGACTAGGTTTAAATGTCTTGAAACTTTTTGTTTTATTGCATGAGAGTATGCTTTATTTTTGAGATTGAAAAGTCGAGTTAGTAGTTGGGAAGAGTATTTTCCATAAGCACTTAAGTTAAGTTTAGAAGAGTAAAGCAGTTTCAATAAAGTAAAGAAAAGAAAAGTTTTTAAGTAAATACCCTATGTTGAGTTTTTAAAAGTTAAGTTGTTTTCAAAAAAGTTCAAAATTCTTTCTGAAAAATCAGTATTTTTAAAAGTATAAGAAGAGGGTGCTTACAAGTTGGTATCAAAGCCGGTCAGCGGTTCTCTATACTTGAAAACTTTTTAAAGATAGAATCTTTTTTTAAAGTTGACCACTCGCCTCCGTCGTGCCGCGTCAACTCCAAGGTAAGTTTTATGAGTTAAGTACTTCAACATGAGTATATTTTTGGGGCTTAGGACTTACCCTCCAAGGAAAGACCCGAGAACTTTACCTAGTTTCAAACTCTAGTTAAAGCTTTGAACTCTATAATAAGTTTGAGAAAGTTCTAAACCTTCTATTTCTTTTTCTTACTAGCAACGGCCAAAGGACATCAAAACGTAGGCCAGGGACAACCCGCGCCAGCGCAAACCCAGGCTCAAATTCTATCGCATTTTCACACCCTGCAGCCACCCGTGTTCACTAGGCAAGAGGGACCCTCTGTAGTGGGTGAATGGTTCCGTAAGCTCAAGCGCATCTTTAACGTGCTTGCTTGCACGAACGAGCATAGGATTCTCTATGTTGAATTCTAGTTGGATGGTGACGCCGGCCACTAGTGGTCAGACTATAGGAGGCTGAGGCCAGAGGATGAGCGAGATGCTTTGACCTGGGTACGAATGAAAGAGATAGTCGCTGAGAAATACTATCCTCAACATTTCTGCGAGCGCATGGAAATGAAATTGTGGGACTTACGCCAGCGCGGCCGAACGGTGGACAAATATGAGCTGGATTTTACCCGCATAAGTGCCTTCACAGTTCATCTCGTTGACACCGAAGAGAAGAAGGCCAGGCGGTTTCGGAACGACCTTCGCTGAGACATCAGGATTGTGGTGAGCCACGGTTCATTGTCATATGATGTGATGGTTAACCGAGCTCACTGATATTCATCATATTTTCATGCATTATGAGTGATAGATTGTGATATTTGGCTTTGTTTATTGTTTGATTGTGCAACATTTTGTTTTATTTGTTAATCTATGATAGAGGTATTTTGTCGTTGGTTTTGCAGAAAATATGCCCGCAAAATCGTTGAAAATGGAATCGAGATGAAAAACGGCAAAAACAAAGTGCTGTCGAGGACACACGACTCGTGTGGGACAGTGACACGAGTCGTGTGACCGATCGTGTGAGTCTGGGAGTTTGGCAAAAATTGGCGAAAAGCCACATGACACTTGTGAGTCAGTGACATGAGTCGTGTGACGCGCAGAGCAAATCAACGAAGATGAGGATTCATATGCGATTTATTCCCTTTTTGACTCATAATTTCCCTACAGTATAAGAGGAACTTGAAGAACTCGGTTTTGGGACTTTTGACACTTTCGGAAGCCTAGAGAAAGCACGAAACACACGAGGAATTCGAGGAAGTCAAGATTGATGATTCGAGAACTAACAGCCACAATAATTCTTCTTTCTTTTCTATTTTTCTTCTTCATTGAACTCATGGATTTATTTATTTTGAGTTTTGAGAACATGTTTAGTAGCTAAACCTTTTTGAGATTCTAGGATTTGTGAGTTCTCGGATTATTTTATGAAGTGATTTTATTTATTCATTCTGGTTTACCTTTCGTTTATCAATTTCTTGTGTTTATATTAAATGTGTGAATATAGGGCTTGTATTTATGCATATTTGTGATTGACTTGAGACTGAGAGGAGATAGTTGATTGCTAGAATTGGGAAATTTATAACGTATGAGACTAAACAGACCGAGAGGTTGATAGAATCTTGGGAGGGAACTAGAATCTTAGGAACTAGGGGAGTTAATTGTTCATCTTGTGACCGAGAGGAGATAAATAACATTTAATCAACGATTTAGCTTGCTCTAGAGAGAGGTTAAATTACTTTAGTGATTATCCCTACGATTGGTAGAATTAAATGAGGTTTGAATGAATAAGAAATCTTTGCTAGAATAATTCTGAGAAAACTTAGCTTAGAATATATTATCTCAATCTTGATATATTTAGAATAAGCCTTTATTAATTGTTAGCTCTGGTTTATCGTTTTTCATTAGCTTAGAATTAAAACACAATTCAAATTTGAGTTAGTCGAAATAATATTTAATAGTCTACATTTTAGTACTTAATTATTGTGACAACAATCTCTGTGGAATACGACCTTGCTCGCCGCTTACTATTGCTACACCATACACTTGCGGGTAATTAAAATATTTTCCAAACACTCATCAGATAGCTGCCTATCAGAGTTTGGATGCACCAGCCCCAGTTGTCCAGCTGGATGCATGTTCGGGCAAGAGGATGTTTGAACAGTTCCGGGAGCAGCGAAAGAACATGAGAGGAGAAGGAGGCCAGCGGGATCATAAACCTCCCCCTCAGGCAGTAAAGCCCCTCCAGCAGGTGGCGGATGGACCTCCGACTTGTGGCACTTAAGGTCGGAGGCATAGAAGAGCATGTTTGGCGGGTCAGAATGTCTGTTATCAGTGCAGAAGGCCAAGAAATATGGCCAACCATTTCCCCGAGCGTGCTCAACAACAGAACCAGCCATAGGAGAACTAGTAGAGGCCGAATCCCAGAGGCAGAGCCCGTTTCTTTGCTCTGACGTAGGCTAAAGAAAAACAAAACCAAGGTACTATGCTCGGAATGCTTTATGTGCATGGTATACTTGTTTTCGCATTGTGTGACACCAGAGCCACGCATTCATTTAAGTTGGGATCCGAAGTTGCCTCGAAACCATGGTATACTATGTCTAGAGCCACGCATTCATTTATATCTTTAAGTTGTCTCGAAGCGATCGGGATCCGAAGTGTTAGTACGGTCGATGCTCTAGAGGTCAGTTTAGCCTCTAGAAAGAAGATTGTCACCAACACTATGGTGCAGGGACTCAATATCAACATCGGCGAAATGGACATGACGACGAACGCGTAGATCATTGAGATGAGAGACTTTGACGTAATCCTCGGCATGGACTATCTAAGAAGGTATCGAGCCGACATCAGATGCTACAAATGAAGGTGACCCTTCACCTATCAGACGACGAACAAATCATCTTCTATAGAGCTAAGACGAGGACTGTTCCTAGAGTTATCTCATCATTGAAGGCTGTGAAGAGCCTAGCAAAGGGCAGTTTCCAAGGTTTCTTGGTGAACATAGTCGGGAACCATCAGGTGGAGCCGTCAACTGATGCAGAGCCAATAGTTCGTGAGTACCTCAACGTTTTTCTGGACCAGTTGCCAGACGGGCCACCACATAGACAAGTGGAATTCACTACCAACCTGGTCTCAAAGGCTGGGCCAGTGTCGAATGCACCATATAGAATGGCGTCGAAGGAACTGCAGGAGCTCAAGACGCAAATTCAAGAGCTGATGAACCTTGGTTTCATTCGACCGAGTGTATCACCGTGGAGAGCGTCTGTCCTCTTTGTGAAGAAGAAGGATGGATTCATGAGAATGTGCATCGACCACCGGGACTTGAACTAGTTGACGGTGAAGAACAAATATCCACCCCCGAGAATAGAGGATCTCTTTGACCAGCTGAAGGGAGCCAGCTTGTTCTCCAAGATCAATTTACGGTTTGGCTACCATCAGTTGAAGATCAAGGAAGCAGATGTTTCGAAGACGGCGTGCGGATGCGATACGGACACTATGAGTTTGTGGTGATGCCATTATATCTGAGCAATGCGCCGACGGTGTTCATGGACCTCATGAATCGAGTGTTCCACCCTTACCTGGATCAGTTTGTCATCATGTTCATTGACGATATTTTGATCTATTCGAGGGATGCCGAGCAACATCAGGAACATCTGAGGACAATGCTCGAGACACTTCGACGGGAGAAGTTGTATGCATTCCACAAATATGAATTGAAAAAAACAAATGATTTGAAATAAGTTAATAAATATGAAATACACCGCAAATTCATTGTGAAAAGTATACAAAAACATTTAATCCAATTTAATGTTTAGATTTCTTTTTTTATGCACAGCAATTTATTAAAAACAGGTTAGAACATGTTATGTGAATCAACTCGAGAAATAAA